CCAGCTGTTGAAGAGATCGATACGCTTCCAGATTTGCTTCTGTTCATTCAACTTAACAGTAATCCTCGTATGTAACTTGGTATAATTTTTGGCGCTGTTTTCCTTTTGCGATTTGAAACTTCAGGAGGAAGTTACTGTTTTATTAGAACCTCCCATTGGTGGTGGACTTATGGTTAGTCTGAAATCTCTCTCCGGGGGTAGTTTGACCCGCTGTCTACTGATGCAGGGCACTTATCGTCACTGGGGAAATGTCTCGTGAAACACCATCCTTTCATGAATTTCCTCCTCTCTTACCCCCCTCCCCATTCCCATGCTACTTACCAACTTCCTAGTATCTCCCATCTTCCTACCTTGTTTTCCCGCTTTTCCAAAGACTTCTAGTTTTCCACGAAATTGCCGCCGTGCGAGAGGGATCACCTCAAAACAACTAATAATCTCAGCTACTGTCGAAAATAGCAGCTGTTCAGCTACACAGGACACAGACTGCCCCGTCAACCAGGGAGAGAGCAGAATACGACAATACAACCCCATCCCTTCACCGACCAACTTACGCTCCTGGGAATTTCTCAGTGTACAAAGTGCCCTGTACGGATGTCATTGGTTTGCAGCTAAAACGAATGGCACCCGCGCTAGGCGTTTAGTGCTGGAAGAATGTGAACTTTGTGGTCTGAGGTCAGCTTACCCCAACGACGAATTTCTGCGGAATTCGCTGTCAACAGATTTCGATAAAAAATTCGGGCTAAATTCTGGAAGGTGAAGTCGCAAAGGGTAAATAGTTCCAATATCCCTTGAATGATTGTTTATTCGAAGATGATTTCGCTCAATTCCAGGAGAGATCAGAGGAAGTTGTTGGTCGATTCATGACGAATCCGTTATTAACTGATAACGATCGAGATCTTATCAGAAAGAAAGTCATGGAGAAGATTTCGACGGAAAGGAAGAAAAGAACACGGTAAGGGTTTCATTAGCTCGCTAGAGACAAACTGTACACTCCTCTCGGTGTCAAGAGAATTGCAATTGGCCGCGCTAGTGGGCGTCGCGTGCGACGTCGCGCCCGCTAATGACGACGATTTCAGGTGGTATTGGTCGAGAATAGACAATGTATGACCAAAAATAGACATAAGTGTTACCATGTCCTTGTCTACATGAAATCCGATGCTCCAATCGAGGGGGTAGTGCAAAATAAAGAAACATCGTGCCCATTGCCGTGCGCACTGAGCGGCAGATTCTCTTGCACATCTTCTCTGAGGACGGTCCGTGCCATGCGCGAGACGAGGAGGTCCCTGAGCTGCAGTAGAATGCTACTTACTCCGCTCAAAAAAGCGCGGAAACGGAGCTGAAAAGTAGTGGAGCCCGCGTTGCAGTCTCCACACTTCGCCCACCCTATCCCAAGAATCAGCACTTATGTCGGTAGCGAGGTTCCGCAGCGAAACACGCACTTTGCGGCAGAGAACAAATAGAAGTGAGAGGGCGCAGAAAAAGTAGCGCGTTTGGCTATGATCAGACGTGTAGCCTGCGTTTCCGACCAGCCACAGGAGATATGAGGGGCTGCCCGGAGGTTCATTGCGCCCTGTCCCGTTTCCGTGCACTTTGGGCTGGGGAAAGTGATCCTACTGGCTGCGGCTGCAAACCCGTTCACCTCAGGCTGCGTTTATACTTTGCGGCAGCGTAGCGTAGCGCTTCCAGCGTACGCCAGCGGCAGTGCTGGGGAGAGGATGCATATCGATCTAGCGTTCCCAGCGTCACCAGCGTCACGCTAGCGTACGCTAGCAGCGTTTCTCCAGCGTTTCACCAGCGTTTTGCTAGCGTTTGCAGCGGCAGGGGAGTAGAGACTATGGGAGAGGTACAAAACACATCGATTGCGCGTCTCTCACTCGCCCTCAGTCTCTACAATACACGTCGATTCCGCGTCTCTGACGGCCACATAGTCTCTACAATACACATCGATTCCGCGTCTCTGACGGCCACATAGTCTCTACAATACACGTCGATTCCGCGTCTCTGACGGCCACATAGTCTCTACAATACACGTCGATTCCGCGTCTCTTACGGCCACATAGTCTCTACTCCCTGCCGCTGCAAACGCTAGCAAAACGCTGGTGAAACGCTGGAGAAACGCTGGCGTAACGCTAGCGTGACGCTGGTGACGCTGGGAACGCTAGATCGATATGCATCCTCTCCCCGGCACTGCCGCTGGCGTACGCTGGAAGCGCTACGCTACGCTGCCGCAAAGTATAAACGCAGCCTACTTATGGCTAACAGGGTCTATGAATTAGAGTGTACTGTATTTCTTCAGGGAAGTTTTTGCTATGATGTGTTTTTCTGATAATGAAAAAAAAATCCTCGGAACGTTTCCAATAATTTGCTTCGACATTTTCCCAGAGCATCTGGAATGAAAAATTCCCGGCAAAAGTTCTTTATCACGGGATGCGGAGTATTTCAGGCAGAACGAAGATACAGAAGAGGATGCTAAACGAGACGGATCAAAAGAAAGCAAAAGGAAAAAGGAAGAGATTAAGGAAGAAGGGACGGCGGAAATGGATCCTATAGATTTCGAGTCACTGAATAAGCTTTCCAGCTTCGTTGGTGAAGGCGCTCAGGAATTGCTGAAGCAGGTCATTACAGTTCAGTATACTGCCATTTACAGTGATTTATTTTGATATTATTGAATTGTAGGCTGGAGAAGATGCCCCGTGCACCACTGGACCATCGACTCCACCCCCTCCACCACCTGGAGAGTCGACTGTCCCTGTTCTAGGCAGCAAGAAACAAACACCTTCTAAAGATGTAGGTGGAACAAGCTGATTTTCTTGTCGCAGAAAGGAAGCAACGTTACCCCCCATATTTTTTTTTGTAATTTTTTAGGTTGCGAAAGGTGATAAGACGGCCATAAGTGCGATACTACCTGGACCGCCTCCTGTGCCACCTGTTTACGGAGATGATTCATCGGATGGTATGTTTGCTGTTAGACGAGAATCAGCATGAATAGAAGCCTGGTTTTTTCTTCAACAGTGCATTATAGATTCACCAACTGTGCACGATGCTGGTATATCTCCAGAATCATCTAGTTTCACCCAGATGCAGACTGTTAATGTTCTTCCAGTGCCACCACCTCCTCCAGTTATACCAAGTCCGATTTGCACTTCTTTGTATCGTTTTATGAGCACATTAAGGCTTCTTTCATACTTTGCGGCAGGGTCCACCAGTGACCATTAGCGTTTCGAGCGTCCATCAGCGTTAGCGACTGGGAACGTTTGAATTCGGGCGGATGCTAGTGCCCGCCACGTCTATCCGTCTACCAGCGTCCACCAGCGTCTCGAGGGACCTACAGGTGGCGATTTAGCAAACGTCAGCGACCACCAGGAGTAGAGAGTATGGGGATGTAGGAGGATAGCGGTGAAATTGCGGCTTGTGCAACCGCACCCTGCTACTACACAATACCTCACACTGAATTGCATAATTCTGTGCTTTAGCAGTTGTACGGTGCAGTTGCACACGCCGGAATGTCACGACGCCTAATCCAGCTGTCTGTCCTCTCCCTTTTCCCTATACTCTCTGCTCCTGGATGGGTGGACGCTGTTGGTCGCTAGTGGACGCTGGCGTTCGCTAGATCAATACCCATACTTCCCTGGTCGCTGACCCCGACGGACATTCGAAACGCTAGTATTCGCTGGTGGACGCTAGTGGTCGCTAGTGGACGCTGGCGTTCGCTAGATCAATACCCATACTTCCCTGGTCGCTGACGCCGACGGACACTCGAAACGCTAGTATTCGCTGGTGGACGCTGGTGGTCGCTAGTGGACGCTGTCGCGAAGTATGAACGCAGCCTAATATTTTTGCATGAAATTAAGTTTCGGAGATGGCCGATGTTAAATGGCTCACGCGCGCTTGTGCTGTGCTGCGTCGATAGCTGCGTTCATTGTCAATGTTTTGAGTGTACGGTAGCGTTTTGAGCTGTCGAGCGACTAGGAGCTTATAGATATCGCTCTAGCGTTATCAGCAATTTCCCCGCGATAAGCTCAAAACTACGCAACGTTCAAAACTCTAGATTGCGTCTGTACTTCCTTACTCGCTCGGAAGGCTGCTATACGCTCGAAATGCTGAAGCGATTTATGAGTGCAGCCTAACGATTATTTAGCTGACTATGAACGCGCGTAACTTTTTTACCTGAGCAAATGGCAAGTGGCTGAGCGTGTGAATTCACATCATATTTTGTTTAAAGGACAGCATTTTGTGTCTTCTTCCTCAGCCCATCAGACAGCTGCGTTTCTCAGTCAATAATACTGTATGATGGAAGCCAGCATATACAGCGAACAAGACTGTGACTAATATACATACTTCAGGTCGGCTGAACATAGCTGTTCCTCCGCCGCCTCCTCCACCACCGCCTCCACCATCTACATCTGCCGCTCAGGCTCCTCTTACGCCAACCCTTCCCCAACCTTCGAACTCTGGTAAGACTCGAGAGAATCGTAACGTTTTTGTTGACCGCGTCTTTCCTGAATCCTTTTCGAGTACTCGCTTTCAGGTGCGACAACAAGCAGTGCACAGTCTCAGGTTCCGCATCCACCTATGCCTCCTGGTATGCTCCGTCCGCCTCCAGGCATGCCACCGCCAGTTCTTCCTCCACCATCGTTCTTGAACTGTCCACCACCGAACATGCCAAGAATGCCAATCCCGCCACCACCAATAGCTGGCATGCCACGACCTATTCCTCCTCCAGGAATGCTACCACCTCCTGGCATGCTTCCACCACCTGGCATGTTCCCTCCTGGTATGCCTCCCCATCCAGGCATGCCTCCACCTCCGAGAATGCCTCCATGTCTTCCTCCCCCGCCTAAATTCATGAATCAAGGATCAGCACAGCCCTCTGAACAACAAAAATCGTTTTTCCCTGGTGCACCGCCCGCTCGACCTGTACCTCCTGGTCCTGGTCAGGTACCTTCTGCGACTCCAAAAAAACAGTCAAAACGTACGGTGAGTCGTTGATCTCC